GTGAAGGCACACAGCTCCGAACAGTCCCTGGGTCTGTTGGGCAACTTGCTTCATATTTTAGAGTGGATTTCTGAACCTACGTGGTGTGTGGGTTGATGCCTGCTTAGGTAGGAAGCAGGGAGTCATTTTCACTTAAGTTGATGGTGACCCAAGCCTGTCATTCCAGCACTTGGGAGGTGGAGGCAGGAGGAAGGGAAAAGAGTTCAAGGTTATCCTTGGTTTGTTTAGGAAGTGAGTTGGCCAGCCTGGGCTACATGTGACCCTGTCTCAAAAAATATTTGGGAAGAGGAAGGGGACCGATGATAGTGAGAAGGGGGGCAAGAGGAGGCCATGGCGGTGTGGGTAGAGAAATGGATCCATGGCTGACAGTGCTTATTGCTTTTTAGAGGACCTGGGTTCTGTTCCTTGCACCCATTTTGGTTCACAAACATCCTTAACTGCAGTTCCAAGGGATGTGACCCTATCCTTCCACGGGCAACAAGCCTGCACATTGGTGCATGCGCACACATGCAGGCAAAACACTCACACACTCAAAAATAAAATACATAAATATAAAAACATTGAAACAGAAACCATCAAATTAAAAAGGTGAGAGGGTGATGGATGAATATGAGACCAAAATAAATTGTACACAGGAATGAAAATGTGCTAATGGGACCTACTGTTACATATAGCTAATATGTATTCATAAAATATGAAAAACAACCAACAGCTCTCCTTTGCTAAGAATGTATTCCGTGCTCAGCCCCACACTTAGCAACTTCCTCAGCATCCTGAGTGATTTCCCGTTATCTACCACATGCTTGTGGTGCTGGGATGGAATCCACAGGAGTCCTTGCCTGACTCTCAGGCCCTGCAAGTGCATGTAGTACTTGAGTGTGGTGTGTTCAAGCTGACAGGCCCCACAGCACATCTAGCATTGCAAGGTCCATGCTGTTTGCTGCAGCAGGCTCTGGTGCTGCACCTGTGTCACCCACAGTCTTGCAGAATCAGCACCAGGGTTCCTTCATATACCTTCTTCTTTCCCTTTTATCCACCTATACATTTACCCACACATCTATCCACCCGTCCATCCATCCATCCATCCATCCATCCACCCACCCACTCACCCACCCATCCACCTAGCCATCCATTGGTCCATTCACCCATCCACACATCCATCCATCATCCATCCATCCACACATTCACTCACCCATCCCTATTCCTTTCTTCCTTTCCTCTTCTTCATCTTGCTTTTATTCCTTCCTCCCATAAATATCACGGAGAGCCTCCTTGCTCCATATGCTGTGGGTACCTGAAAATACCGTTGATGGAGATGCTGCTGAGGATGCCACTCATCAACAGGGGTGGGAGGCAGTGATAAGTAAGCAAAGTAATTAATAAACAGAGGCAGTCATGGTGAGTGGTAGAGGTTGCCAGCATAAAGTTCCCATGGAGCTGGGAGTGGCAACACACACTTATCATCCTGCACACACACTTGGGATGCTGAGGAAGGATGGTCAAGGCAACAGGGCAACCTTGTGCCAAAAATAAAGGCTCATTGGCGTGGTTAACGTAGGTTTTCAAGGGCGGGGTTCTGTCATCTGCGTTATTGGAGACCTAGATGCTCCCTCCCCGCTTCTAGACAACATCTTAGGCAATACTTGGCTGTGGGCTGTGGTTTTAATTGTTAACAGATTGGCCCAGAGTCTGGGTGCTTGGCAGATGCTGTTCAGGAGTTGAGATGTTAAATCTTTCTTCTTCAAAGTCAGGTTCTCTGGAGCAGTTTTTTGGTATTTGGATCCTACATGGTGGGACAGGTGTGGGGCAGGTGCTGAACAGCACCGTGTGTGGTGTGTATGTGTGTGTGTGTGTGTGTGTGTGTGTGTGTGGTGTGTGGTGTGTGTGATATGTGTGTGGTGTGTGTGTGTATGTGTGTGTGTGAGTGTGTGTGTATGTGTGGTGTGTGAGTGTGTATGTGTGTGTGTGTGGTGTGTATGTGTGTGGTGTGTGTGTGTGTGAGTGTGTATGTGTGGTGTGTGTATGTGTGGTGTGTGGTGTGTGTGTGTGGTGTGTTGTGTGTGTTGTGAGTGTATGTGTGTGTGTGTGTGGTGTGTGGTGTGTGTGTGGTGTGTGTGTGGTGTGTGTGTGTTGTGTGTGTGTGTGTGTGTGTGTGAGTGTGTGTTTATGTGGTGAGTGTGTGTGTATGTGGTGTGTGTGTGTGTGTGTGTGTATGTGTGTGGTGTGTGTGTGTGTGTGTGTGTGTGTGTGTGTGTGTGTGTGTATGTGCGTGTGTTTCAATATTCAGCGGCTGGGGGTAGCTCATTTGGTACTTGCCTAGCATCCATGAAGCCCTAGGTTGCAGCCCCAGCACTTCACACACCAGGCATGGTGGCACAGACCTGTGTGTCACTAGCACTCTGGAGGTGGAGGCAGAGGGATCAGAGGGTTATCTCTGACTGCATAGGGAGTTTCAGGCTAGTCTTGGTTACATGAGAGCCTGTGTCAAAAAGCAAATTAATTTCAATATTGAAGTTTTATTTCCTTTTTGGGGTGGTGGTGGTTCTCACTATATAACCCTGGCTGGTCCATCATTATGTAGTCCAGGCTGGCCTTGAACTAACAAGAGTTCTGCCTCTACCTCCTGAGTACCATGATTCCTGACCCCCCCCATTTGTTTTGAGACGGTATCTTTCCAGGTAGCCCAGGCTGGTTTTGAACCTCCAACCCTTCAGCCTCAGCTTCCTGAAAACTGGGTTCAGAAGTTCACACCACTAAGCACAGCTTGTTCTAAATTATATGAACCTTTTCTCTGTCTCTCCCTTTGTGTGTGTGTTTTCTGTCCAGAAACTCCACCAATTTTCCAATTTCCCTGGGAGTATAAAGGCACTTTCCAGCTTTGCAGGAGAGAAAGGTGAGCTAGCGGAGGGAGTGGAGTTAGTTTTTTAGCTGGGTCAGGATGACGATTCCAATTCCTTGGTGATGTGGGTGATGAATCTGTGGGCTGGAAGCCTTCTTCACACAGTGGTTTGGAAGACGTTATAGTCAGAGACAGGGAAAGTCTCCATCTGTCATTTTTCCTCACTGCGATGACAACTGAGATATAAACCAGGATGAGACAATGCCCTCACTATGCAGCAGAGGTTGGAAGGGGGAGAATATTCCAGGCAGAGAGGGGCCCCTATGTTCAAGAGTCACGTAGGTATGAATAGGGTGAGCATCCAGCAGACAGAGGTGGTCAGGAGATTGACTGTAAGTGTCCGAGGGCCAGAGCTCCCACAACTGAATCACTGTGGGTGCCCAGCAGCCATGGCTGCTCTGTGGGGTGGAGTCTTCACACAAGTGTTTTGTATCTTGCTAATACTCACCCCCCTCCCCCGCTGAGTTTTTTTTTTGTAATTCCCCAGTGAAGCTGATGCAGGATCAAATGGAAGAAAGGAAGGAGTGGGTTGGTGGTTCCAGAGAGGGCTCCCTAAGCTTCTCCCATGCTGGGGCAGGGGACTCAGTGAGTTCCCTTCCTAGTATGAAAATCAGCTGACCAACACCGAGGGAACTGGGTGTGAGGGTGCATACCTGTGAATACCTGCATCCCAACTCTCAGGAGGTCAGAAGTTCAGTTATCCTAGGCTGTCTAGTGGGTTTGAGGATGGCCTATGGTACACCAGACCCTATGTTAAAACAAAAACTCCCAATTTCATAGTTGTTTCTTGCAGGTTGGAGCTGAGGTAAATGGTCTGGTCCCTGTTGATTACAGTCAATTAAGCATATCAGGGCTTAATTATTTTTCAAATTACATTTTCTATTTTCTTCCTTCCTTCTTTTCTTTTTTTTTTTTTTTTAGACTGTGTTTCTCTGTGTAGCCCCGGCTGTCCTGGAACACCACTCTGTAGACCAGGCTGGGATTAAAGGCATGTGCCACCACCACCTTCTGGTATGTAGTGTTCAAAGGACATTTGCAGGACAGTTTTGTGGCTGTAGTTCTCTTTCCACCAAGAAGGTCCAGGGAACTGAACTGAGGTCACCAGGCCAGGTGGTTATACCATTACTTGCTAGTCTTCTCACCAGATCAAGACATTGAGGAGTTTGTCCCCAGAGCGATTACCTCTCATTTCCTCTTTTAGGGGCCTTTTCTGCTGTTCCGGGCCTCCCTCCGCCTCCACCTCAGGCAAGAGCAATGAAAGAATGGGAAATCGAAAACGTGTCCCTGGCCTAGGAGGGAATTTCTCTATCTGGACTCTCCAGCCTTCTGCTTCTGGGGTCCTAAGAGGTTCCTGACAGGAAGCCCCAAGAGGGTGGGTGGGGACAGGCCAGGAAAGGCCCCGGGGTCCTGGGGAAGAAGAGGCTGGGTGGGGTTCCTCTGGGGTGGTGGGGAGACGGTGATTCTTAGAGTCCTCTCCTGAATTTAGAATCCTGGGGGCATTCCAGGGATGGAGAGCTATGGGTTGGAAGAGAGGGGAGCAAGAAAGACAGGGAAAGAGACATAGGTTTGAGAGTCAGAGACAGGAAAACGGAACTGAAGAGCCAGAGACCGAGAGAATCAAGGATCTTCAGACAGGGTGGTCTCCGTCCTGCACCCAAACCTCGTAACAGAGAAGGACGGAAAGAGACTGTAGATCCAGCCGAGGTCAGGGAGGGAGTAGACCCCGACATCACATGGTCCCCAATATATAAACAACTGTTTAATGTGCCAGTGTTAATAAAAAGGAAACACACACACACACACACACACACACACACACATACACACACACATACGCACGCACGCACGCTCGTTCGCAGAGAAAGAGGAGGAGAAAGAGAAGAGAAAAGAAGAAGAAGAAGAAGGAGAAGAAGAAGGAGAAGAAGAAGAAGACGAAGAAGAAGAAGGAGAAGAAGGGACCAGATAGAGGGCCTGGACACTTGGGAGGGACTAGAGAGGAGGAAGGGAGAAAGTTCCCGGAGTCGAGGGGCGGAGCTAGAAGCCCGGGAACCCCGCAGCAGTCCTCCACTCTCCTCCCCGGAAAAGGCGCCTCCCCTATAAAGCGCGGGCACAGACGGGAGACAAGCACTGCCTGACCATGGCCATGGACCAGAGCACGCGGGATGCTAGGCATCCCTCAGTTACTGTGCGCCCTGCGGATGCTGCGCTGCCTGCGGTTGCTGCGCTCCTCGCAGAAACAGTGCGTCCAGCGGATGTTGAGAGCACTGAGGATGCTGCAGACCCCAGGGTTAATGTTCAAGACCCCGAGGCCGCGTTGCTGTCCGCCCCGCACTCGTGTTTCCGCTGTCAGCTGCTCTACTGGGTAGGCGCCTTGATGTTGCTGCTCGGGGTTGTCTGTGTTCCGATCGCCCTCTTCACCCGCATCCCGACCCGGCCGGCTCTCACAGTCACCACCTCGCCTACCCCGGGGAACTCAGAGAAGCCTTCAAACCTGACGGTCACTCCTGTTCCTCGAAATAGCTGCCCGAAGGCTACAGGGCAGGTGAGTCACGTCCCATCCCTGGGGCACCCTTTCTTACCTTCTGAAAGTATTCCTCTGCCCTAACGTGCCCCCGCCATGCTTGAAGCGTCCCTTCTCCATCTCGCACTCAGAGAAGACTCCTTTGCGTCTTGAACGTCCTATGTAGATATCGGACCGCGGGGTGGCCGACGACGGTGCGCGGCATTTCCCTACAGCCCCGCTAGGTCCCCCGGGCTTTCCTCCATTCAAAGTTGAAGGGCACCCCAATGTGCCCTGGTGCCTATGAATCCCCACCGGCCTCTTTAGTATGTAGGGGAGCCTTTACTTCTATTCTTCTTTCTTCCTAGGGGTCTTCCGTGTTCGCCATTCTTCAGGCTAAAGAGGGTAAGTATTCCCAGCGGCCCCGCAGAGAAGTTGAACAAAGGTCACCAGCTGTCACCCTTGTGACCTCACCTGGTTCCTCAGGGAATTGGGACTTCTCACCCCCAACCTGGCTCTGGGAGATCTCCCTCCCCCATCTCCTTCCCCCTCTTCTTTCCTCCCTCCCTTCCTTGCACGTAGCCGAGGCTTTCCTCAAAATCATTTTGTAACTGAGGCTGGCCATCCTTCTACCCGGATGAACCTGGGGCTTTAGGCGAACACCCTTCCTCTTGAGCCCAGCCCTAGTCTCTAAATTCCCGGTCTTCTCCACTCTTCCTTCGCCCTCCTGGAATCCTCCCTTCCCTGTTTTGCTCATCCCCTGCCCTCCTCCCCTGATTTCTCCCTTTCTCCTCTTCTCCTCTTACCCCCTCCCCCCGCAATAGCTCTCTTGGCTCACCTCCTCCCTGGAGCTTGCCTGCATCTTTGCTCTAGACCCCTCTTCCCTATCCCCCACTTTCTTGGATTATATCCCTTCTAGGTAGCCTCTCTCCCTCCCTCCTTCAATTTCCTTCTGTTCTGTCCCCCACCCCCATGGTCCCACCTCTCCATGCCCCACTACTCTCAGCAACTCACTGTTCTTTTTCTAGAAGTAAAGCTGGAGCCCAATAGGATCCTGAAGTGGCATAGCCAAGAAGGAGCTGGGATCTCAAAACCGCTCCAGGGTCTGAGGTACGACAACGTCACAAACGAGTTGGTGGTGAACGAAAGTGGGCTCTACTATGTGATTTTGCAACTGAAGCTCAGGCCTGTGTTAAAAAACACAGACCGCAAGGTGCGGGGTCAGGTCTCTCTTGTTCTGCAACTGAATCCCCCGATAGAGCGCCCTGACAACTTGGCCCTGACTGTGGACCTATTCCCTTGCTCCATGGAGACCAACTTAGTGGAAGGCTCCTGGAGTCATCTGATACCCCTGAAGGCTGACGACCGCCTCAGTGTGAATCTGCGAGCCTATCTGTATGGAGCTCAGGAGGCATACAAAGACTGGGAGCTCTCCCAGACTGCTATCACCAGCTTTGTGCTCTTCCTTGTGCCAACTGACACCCCACAGGAATTGCCATCCATACGATAATGTCATGTGCTGCCACCCTTCTTATGACCCCTGGTCGCTGAGATCCCAAGCTGCTATATCTCATGGGGCCTGAGCACAGGGCCCCCCTCTTCCAGTATTCTCTCCACACCCTGTCCCTGACTGGACTCAGTATTTATTGTGAGCATGGCTCAGACAACACTTTATATAATTCATTGGTTAGCATTAGCAAACTGCTGGGCAGGTGCTATCAAGAAACCAGTCATCAAAGTTTCCTAAAGGAAACTATTTATTTATGCTAATATGTAAAAAATAAACGTATTTGTAAATAAGTCTTTTAAAATTATTTTTGTCGTTTAATTTAAAGTTTTCATGTTTATGGATGTGGTGCTTATTCATGAACAAATCTGTGTGTGTGTGTGGTGTACATGGGTGTGCATATGTAGAGACGACAGAGGTTGACACGAGGGTTTTCCTCAGTCACTCTCTGCCTTCGATTTTGAGACAGTCTCTCACTGAACCTGGAACTCACTGTTTCTGCAAGGCAGTCTGGCAACCAAGCCCCGGGAATCCTGTTTCCATCCACGGGCATTACCCTCCACTCTCTTAGGATTAAGGGTGCTTTTATGTGACTTTTATGTGAGTGCTGAGCATCCAAAGTCAGGTCCGTAAAATAATTGGCTGAACTGGCCTGTGTTAGGATAAAGCTTAAGGGGACCTTGCATGGGGGACCATGGCGGATTCCATGGCTGGTGAGGGTGACAAACACACCAAGCAGACAGAGCTTAGAAAGGGGATGGAGGGGGAAGGAAAGAGAAAAGAGGGAAAGAGACACAGAGAGGACAGAAGGGAAGACGGAGACAGGAAAAGTCCTGTCTGCCCCAGGGGAACAGCGGGAAGAGGGAGCAGAAAGAGAGCTGGAAAAGAGCAGAAAGTGTAAGTGGGCAGGGGTCTTTCTTTTAAAGGGGTCCTTTGCACCTGCCTGCATACTACACAACCGGGAACCCTGGGCTGACCAGGGCACTGCCTGAGTGCATTCTGCCAGGTGACAGGGGCAGGCCAGCACAATGCCTGAATCCTTACAGCCTGCACCACTAACCCTTTTTAGAGACAAGAGTGTTGTGTAGCCTAAACTGGCCTGAAAGTCCATATTTGCTGGGGACAGAACCAGAATCTTGTGCCTACGGGCCTGCGCTTTACCTCAGAGCAGTCTATTTCTGGGAATCCGGCTGCGAATAAGCAAAAAACAAGAACAAAGCAAAACCCCCCCAACTAGAAACAGAGTCTGTTGTAGCAATATAATTAATAGATTTGGACAATGAAGGAGAATTTGTTAAGGAAGCCACCTCTCCCCCCATGCAGACTGACAAATCCCTCAGTTGCAGCGCTTCCCCCGCACCCCCCCGGGACTCCAGGTAAAGGCAAGGATGGGAACTCTGTGTATGTGTCTGTAAACCGGGTAACCGGAGGTGTGGAGTCACACTGAAGGCCTCCCAACGGAAGCCGAGGGGTGATGTAATTCAGGCTGGCGGCAGCTTATTTGTAAACTCAACTGATATGTTAAGCATTTCCTCACTCCGTGTGAGTCACCCGAACTCGAAACCCGCAGCCACTCTGTGTCTCAACAGATTTTTAAAAAATTTCCATTTCAGTATTTCCTAGCTGTGACTTCAGGTGACTTACCTTGCCGATGGGGGGGGGGCGAGAAGGGGGGACGGGACGACCCGGGGTGTGTAGTGGAAATCCCTTAGTCACCCCCACCCAACCTGGATCCTGTGCTTAGAGACATCACAGTTCTACCTCAGGCTGTGCACTGGGTGTGGTTTATTGTCGTTGGGGGATTTAGCCAGAGGAAACAGTAGTGCTGAAGTTGGCTTTTGATCTGTTCTTCGAGGGTGACCAGGGTGATGGGGAACAGTTTGGGAAACACTATTCAGCAAAGCAGTTGCTCACTGACCCCGTAGCACGTTGTTACACTCTGAGAGAGAGGCTGGGGCAGCGGCACACAGGAGACCCTGGCTTCGATCACAGTGCCACAGCAAACACTGCAAACATTGACATAGACATGTATATATAAGCCCAGATTTGCATGTCTGTCCCCCACTTTCTTGGTGTATGTGGGTTAGAGGTCAGTGTCAGGTGTCTTCCTTAATCCCCTCCATTTGATTGTTTGAGTCAGGGTTTCTCTTCTTTCTTTTTTTATTGAGCATAGATTTTTTTTTCTCATACATATATCCTGACTACAGTTTCTCTTCCCAGTCCACCCCTCCCTCTTTCCCCTTCCCTCCCTATGCACTCCTTTTCTGTCTCTCAGACACAAACAGGCTTCTTAGAGATAACAACCAAACTTGACAAAATCAGTAAGGTAAGTAAAAGCTTACATACTGAAGTTGGACACGGCAACCCAGCTGGAGGAAAAAAAGTCCCAAGAGCAGCAAGAGAGTGAGAGACCCACCTGTTGTCACAGTCAGGAGTCCCATAAATAACAGAGCTGACAGAGGACCTGGTGCAGACCCCTGCTGGCTCCTGCTTGCTGCTTCCGTCTCTGTGAGCTCATGTGTGCCTGCATAATTGATTCAGAGGGCCTTGTTCACCTGGTGTCCTTCATCGTCTCTGTCTGTCTATCTGTCTGTCTGCCCCTCTCTTTCTTGGTTTTCTGAGACAGAGTTTCTCTGTGTAACTCTGGCTGTCCTGAAACTCACTTTGTAGACCAGGTTGGCCCCAAACTCAGAGATCCCCCTGCCTCTGCTTCCTGAATGCTGGGAAGTGCTCTCTCTCTCCTTCTGAGTCCCTGAGACTCTGCTTCTTCTTTTGTGGGATTCCCTGAGCTCTGAGGGGAGGGATTGATGGAGATTTACACTCTTTCTGCATAATATCTGGTCATGGGTCTCTGAGGCAGGGTCTCTTGTTGAACCTGGAGCTAACTCCTGTCTCTGCCTTCCCAGTATTAGCTCCACACCATTGCACCTGGCTGTTTCTATGGATACAGAAGGTTCGAACTCAGGTCCTTGTGCTGAGCCATCTCCCTCAGCCCCACTAGTGCTCCTATCTGTGGGTTTCATCTGCTCCAGACACTCCAGGAGTTTATAGTGAAGATGCAGGTGGTACAAGGTCTGTGGCGCTGCCCTTGACTGCATTTCTGTGCCTCACGCTTTTCAAAGATGGAGGCAGAGGGGGAAAACTGGGACCCTTTCATCCTCCCTTGGGAGTGTGTGCATGCTGGGCTGTGCAGCACTGAAGGAGTAGAGATGAAGCTTCCTTTCTGCAGAGCACTGTAGCGCTGGACAGAGCTAAGTTCAAACTCTGCTTCAGTCAGTGACAGCTAAGCTGTGCATGCTTAGGCAAGTGACTTGGCTTCTCTGGACCTACTGTTTATAATAATGAACATGGAAGCTGAGTTCATCTCAAGGGCTCTTGGAGATATTACATGAGATAATAGGCTTTCCCGACACAGTGTTTGACATGAAACAAAAACTTGGAGGTTGTTACTCTACCAATAAGATCAGAGAGAGATGGTTTCAGAGGTTCTATAACCATGTGCCAAGGTCCAGAGGCAGGAGGGGGGTGGGCCGAAATATCAGGTAGTGGATGAATATAGAACTGGAAAGACAATCAGGGCATCTGTGACAGAGGACCCCAGTTCAGTTCCCGGCACCCATTCCAGGTGGCTCACAAAGGCCTGTAACTCCAACTCCAGGGGATCAGACTCCTCTTTTGGCTTCTGCTGGCATTGCACACATGTGTACATACATATTCCCTACTCCACATACACATAATTTAAAGGTATTTCTTAAAGAACATTGGGTGTGGAGGTGCATACATGTGACTGGCCTGTCTGAAGGGGTAATTCTAAAGACACAGGGACTCTCCCTGCTGGGCACCAGAATACTGAGAGAAGGGTACCCAGGAAAGTTAGAATCTCCCCAGGAATCTCCAGGGGTCGAGCTTGCCTCCTGGAAGAAGACTGACATACTTGTTGGACGCCTTGCCTGAGAGACTTGGAGCTGAGACAATGATGGGCAGGACCATGTGTGGCCGACTAATTCCTCAGCATTTCTCACTCTTAAAAGAGGTATTTTATTTTATGTGAATGAGTGTTGTCTCTGTGTATCTAGATACACTGTTGTGCCTGATGCCCAGAGAAGCCAAGAGAGAACACCAGGTTCTCTAGAACTGGAGTTATTGGTGGCTGTGAGCCACTGTGTGGGTGCTGGGCACTGAACCCCAGTTCTTTGCAATTGCTCTAACCTCTAAGCTGGGTCTCCAGGACCCCTCATGTGTGTCTCCTGCCTTCTGTTTTAACCTTGCTGCTGTAATAGGCCCACCCAAGATGAACTTGGTGGGGGTGGGAGGTCATGGGTGTCTGTAGCAAGTCTTTCTCTGTCTGGACGGCCAGCTCCCAAATAACCACATGGAGACTTACTATTAATTATGAAAGCTCAACTGGTAGCTTAGGCTTGTTTTAAACTAGTGCTTATAACTTAAATTAATGCATTTCTATTAATTTACATGCTGCCATGTGGCTTGTGACTTGTTACCTCATCTCCTACATGTCATGCTTCCTCTACATCTCCTCATGACTCTGGCTTCTTCCCAGCATTCTCTCTGCCCCCCAAATCCTGCCTAGCTATTGGCCATTTAGCTGTTTAGTAAACCAATCACTGTAACATATCTTCACACAGTATAAGGCAATATTCCACGACAGGTATCTTTGTTTCTTTTCCCAGTATGGCCACATAGAATTCTTTTTCTTCTTTTTACTGCTAAGTTGTCTGTTTATTTGAGACAGGGTCTTACTATGTAGCCCGAGCTGCCTGGACCTCAATTTTTAGAGCAGGCTGGCCCAGAACTCACAGAGATCCACCTGCCTTTGCCTCCCTAGTGCTGAGATTAAATGTTGGTGCCACTAACGTTTGGCTAATTTGGCTGTTTTAATAGACTTATTAAAGTGGGTGACTGAACCTGAGTTATTGGGGCACAGGTTGTGGTCCCTCAGACCAGTGGTAAATCAGCACTGGAGAGGCAGATTCAGGAGGGGCCCTGGCAGGCTAGTTAAGCCTAAGTAATGAGCTCCAGGCCTGTAGGAGACCCTGTCTCAGAAATGAAAGGGGGGTGGGACTAGACGTGGCACCTCCTCATGCACCTGTGCACAGTCACACACGTGTGCATGCAGAGTGATGGTGTGCCATGCAGATCAGAAGTCTAGTTAGCTTGTTGGGGGATTGCTCGGGTCACAGGATCAGGGGGTGAATGGGAACAGAGACAGAGGCTTACAGAAGAGGAATGTTCTAGAAGAGGGACAGTTGTCTGTATTTATGTATGTATGTATTGTCTGGGGTTGACGGA